CAATTTGTGTTCTATATCCTTGTGCCACATCAGTGCCACTCAGACTCTGCCTTCCTATTATTGTTGAATTTATCCTTGTTGGTAGCTTATATATCATCATGTCTTTCCATACTGTCAATCTCAATACCTAATTTTGTCAGGAAGTGATGCTTGGACATGTGAGCAGAAGTGTGGCCCAAATTGCTGGCTGGCCAGCAAAAATTGTGACATTGTGACACTTGTGACTGGTAGCACTCTCATGTAAGAGATCTCTATTGAGGTGAAACAGGGTAATATAGATTCATGGACATGGTAGTAGCTGTATAGATAGTCCTACAAGTTAATGATATAGAGTGTTTACTCATACTGATATGAGTGCTCTCAGAGCTCTCAGAGCGTGGGTTCTGCTATCAAATCAGGGGTGGGAAAACACACGGGCTATATAGCAGATACCGGATTTCCTGATGTTGTCCATCACCGCTGCCGCTGCTGGATCTACCACATAGCCCATGTCCATGTCCATGCCCCACTCTCGTTGGGTCGGGTCGATGTCGCCTGTGATGAGATTAGTGTTATGATTGACGGGAACGGGCTGTTCCTCCGCAAAGAGGGCGTCGAGATCCATAAAGTTCTCAAAAATAGTCGTGTCCGTTGGCAGTGGCAGGGTCTCACTATTAATGTCACAAGGTATCTCATCAGCAAGAGAACTCGAAACAAAGGAGGGGGATGGTGAATGTGAGGCATACGGATCAATTCCAAATGCGTGCAAAAAACCATCCATGTCATCGTCGAGATCATTGAGTGTCGGAAGGACAACGGGTTGTTCTGGAGCGGGTGGTGTCATATTTGATTCGGGCGGCACAGCAAGGTCGGAAACTATATTGTGTTTGGGAAGAGCGTCGTACGTAGTCACTCGGGTGAGGGCTAACCATGACGAAGAGTCAGAAAAGAGCACGGGGATTATTCAGAGAGAGAGCGTACGTGGAGTGTAAGGCTGTTGACGTGCTGAACCTCGGGATGTAGCATGAGAGCTCGCACGACCACTACTCGAACTCGATTCGCCGGCGGTGATCTGACTGGTGCGTGGACGCGTGGGTTTATTCGCCTTACCGTTCAGAGCATCGAGTCTCGCCTTCAACTCCTTCTCCTCGTCCGCCTCCACCCTCTTGGCTGCCTGCAACACCTTGATCTCCTTCATCAATATACCCTTCTCTATTGCACTGTTAAGCATGTCCCGCTTAGCCCTCAATGCCTTCTCCTCCTCCGTCTGCTTCCTCCGCTTCGACTGCGATGCCTTTATCGCTGATGTAAGGATGTCTACCTCTGCTGCAATACTTGCCTGCTCATGAGCTTTCCCCATAGCGGCCGAACGGCGATGTAGATTACGTTTGAAGCGATCTTGATACTTGTTGTGTTTATTCCTGAGAATGGCGTGCGACTCGGAGGACTTGAGTTCGTTTGCGACATGGGTATCAAGGATCTTTGCACTGGCGGTAAGTGAGTTATAGTAAGTACAGTGAACGTACACGGGCCAAGAGGAATCAATATGAAGAGACGAACGTCAAGATAGCCTCGACAAAGCTGAGGCCGGTACCGGTATGGCTATTCGTGTACGCATGTTGCGTTTCGTTACCGTTTGTTGTGTTCGGAGTGCCATCCCAGAGCTCGACGGGCATCTTCGTTTGGGATCGCATGGTGCAGCCAAAGATCCAAGGATTATCTATCTTGTGCGCGATCCAATCTACGAATGGGATTGTGGGTCAGCATCAGGAATCAAAGACATCGGCAAGGAAGACTGGTGAGGTTACATACTTCGAACTTTCGGATCAGGATGGGTAAGGCAAAATGCCTTGAATGCCACAAAGTCGTCCTCGGTTTCGATGGAGGTGAAGTCTCTGACGTACTGATAGTCGACAGCAGACATCACACCACGGAGACCGTGAATACCGCTAGACAGATGGGTTAGAACATGAAACAGCGAGAGGTACAAGGAGCAAAACAGACCGATGAACATGTGAGTGGCAGATTTTCAAGAAGCAGGGCAGAAACTCTTCGGGAAGTTTCGTTGTTATGCCACTATAATCTGGATCATTCAAAGAAAGAAAGTAATCGGCCGTACCAAGGGCTTGAGCAAGCTCCATATCCGAACCGATTGAGGTAAGATGACCATCAGGCATGATGATCTGTGGCCCAAATCGTCGCCCGGTGAGCCGTACCACAACTTTCTGAACCTCATCCCACACGCGCCTATACGCAGGACGATCCGCACGGTCACTATAAATCCGACCAATTGTGACGACTGTATAAAGTCGAATGAATGAGCACTGAATCAGGACAGGTGATGAACAACGGTGTCTACTAACGGCGTGCGTGGCGAGGTAACCATGCAGTCATCTCCCATTCCTTCATCTCCGAAACATTACGTTTAAAAGTAGTGTCGATTTCGATGGTGCGTGCTTCGTGAATGAGTTCGGCGAGGTATGGGTTGAAGGTGACGACAAGTTGGTGGCTATCGACCGCAATCACCGTGTGGATGTAGCGCTGAGATGGGTCAAGGCGCTGCTCCTTCGTGTAAAGCTCCATCACACCTGTGATACAGGTGATCGTCAGGATCAACTGGTCAAGCACGATTGAACATCAGTAGATTCGAAGACGCACCAGGAAACCCTCGGTTCTGTGGGAGTTCAGCACTTTTGAGTGCCCGTAGAATCTCTCCTTTCAGACGTGTCTGGAGGAGGGCTGGACTGATGGAAGCGAGCGTCTCTCCGTCAAACAGGAGCTTCGTCGAGGCCGCTTTAGTACGGAAATTTTGATATTAGATACTCAAAGCGGAAAGGAGATAACAATGGCAAAGCTTACCATGCTCAACCTTCTTCACAGTGGCGCCTAGCACGCCGTGTGCCTTGACGGCCTTCTTGAAAGTAAGTTTACCGCCGATGGAGGCCTTTCCCATAGGGGGTACAGGATGGTTATGCGGCTTGCTGTTGTCAGGGACAACAACCGCGAGGCGATGGAGCGCAGGGTCGACGGGTACAAAGATGGTTCGTGTGGCGGGACATGGGCGGCTCTTCATCGGCATGGTCGTTGGTTTTCCATTTACGATATGCACGAACTCTGAATAAACCCCAATTAGCAACGGATGTAGATGTGTGATCAGAATGAAAAAGACGTACTGCATTGTTTGGCCTTTGCCCCGATGTGCGCCGACTCCACATATGCACAGCTGTGCTTGCGAGTGACGATGGGTGACGCAGAGAGACTTGCGTCAGGAAGTGGTTCACCGGCGAAAAGGCGCGCCAGAAGGGCTTCATCGACCTCGGCAGGTATTGCGACAAAACGATGCTTTTGACGGGGCGAGAAGGAGGTGCAGCCGATGAAGTACTGTTTGCCGTTTTGGGAACCCTGCGAACATGTAGATCGTAAGACGAAGCAAATATGAAAGGAAAGTGAACGAGAAGTCATGGTAGCTTGAAGGCAAATGCTCACATCTCGGAAGGATACCATCCTAGGCTCACCACTACAGTCCTTGAACTTACAGCGTGAGCTTTTGCCATGGATGACTTGCCAAAACCTGAACAAACTCGAACGGTCAGCTCTGAAAATTGCATAGAGAACAATGAACGTACGTTGCAACACGCTGGTTGGAGACCAATCCCTCCTGAACTCCGATAGCCCTCTCAGCGTCAAAGATGGCGGCACGACGCTCCGGATCGAGTTCATAACGCTGAACATCGATGAGTGACATGTCGAGGTCTTCACAGTGGCGGGAACCACCACATGTCGCTCGCGCTCGCCGAGCTTTGACCGTAGGTATCGAAAGCCCGAAAATTGAGCCTGGAACGGATGCGGTGGTGTCGCTCTTGCCGCTTGTACCCCGCCAGGAGCCTTGATCCTGTTCAAAACCAAGGTAAACCCTACTGAAGTTGAATATATTGGAGGAAGCAATAGACAGACTCGGACCTGATCGTTGATCAAAAAATCTGCTCTTAGTGAACGCGAAGGCTTCAGCTCCTGTTCGAGCTCATCGTACTCGGGACCGCGGAAGTCGAACACGTAGGCAGTAGGAATGCGGGGCACTGGGTGAGCGAAAGGAAGGCCCACGACGCGCTCAAGTATCTCAACATGGCACTGCTTGGTGATGGTAAACTTTCCACGTTCGGCGGTAGAACGCACGTTCTCATCATGCCATTCTGTCACCGGAACATCCGCGTCGTCATCAACGGGCACCGAACCAGAAATAGGATCCCCATCCGTGTCTGATCCCACGTCAGAGTAGGGTGTTGTGCGCCCGCTTGCACAAGACGACGTAGGAGGCAGCATGCCCTCATCATCGAGGGAGAATGACACGGACGACCTTCGCGACGGTGTAGTCGCCGGGAAATCAGCCTCATCATCCGACAGAATCTCAAGGACCTCTGTCCCGTCCTCATTCATTGATGTGCGCCACGAAACAGCGGAAGAGCTCGACTGTCGACGCTTCCCACCAGATCTCGAGGTAAGATCAACCTCCTCGTCCTCGTGTTTAACCCACACGGCATCCGTGGGTTCGTCCTTTACAGTTATGGATGCCCGGCGAGGCGGCGGTCGGCGGAGAGAAGCGGAGGATGAGAACGGCGCCACACTACTCGCTCGACGCAATGGCGTACTGCCGTGAGTCTGCATGAATTCCTGGAGGGCGTGGACATCGACCCAGTCGTACGTGAGGAACCTTCCGGGATTCTTACTGATGTACGACAAGGAGAACATCTGGATGAAGGTAAGAAAGGGAGACAATGGATGGCGGGCCACATAAGCTTTTGCTTACCTCCTCACGAAATTTTATCAGGATGTCAACTGGAACGGTGTTGATGAAGTCGGCAGCGTCGAGCTCAACGTCGGACATGGCGGCGGCGGTGTCGTGGGCGAAAGAAAGGAGCACACAAAATTGTATTCGAAATTTTCGGACATTTTTTGGGAATTGACGAATCACAGCAGTACTTGGGTGCAGTCAGACGCGTTGTTGACGCGTTGTTTGTACGGGCGGACAAGCGCAGCACATGCTTATCAATCTGCGACACAGTGTGCAGCCTCCGCCCAAGGTGTCGCACTTTGTCTCGGACCCGCCGTACCCGATCAAGGTGTGGTGCTATACTTTGTATATACT